AGAATCATGACAAACAGGTATAAAGTTGTACTACAGCAGCTAACTATCTAGAAAATATCGTAAATCTTATTTCTTACGTAACGAGACGTGCACGCACTAATGTTATCATGATTATCTATGTTAATTAACCCATTTATTTAAGCTATGTTTAGTTTTGTATGGTGGTTCATATTAGTAAATTGTCTTTTCTACCAGAAGTCAAATGTTTAAATGCAGCTTTGTGATTTTGATTGTCGTGTCCTAAATATTTTAGCATTATATCAGTTTTCTTTTGAGACATGTGTGCAGTAGTAATGATTGCAGATTGTAGGATATTATGAAAGTATGCAAGGTGGATGTCTCAAATTATTCTTCGCTTACATACAAACCCTTTGAGGAAGAAAAATAGGAATATTAGGCGTACCTTAATAAATTATTGTTTGTCCCTAAAACTACAGTAGTCTCATTAAGCATAGATTACAGTAAGATTAACTTTACTCCATGGCTTACTCGATGAAGATTGAAGACCTCATAGACATTATTTATTCCAATATCGTTCAAACCGTATTTTTTAAATCAATGAGTCATAATAATCTTCAGAAATTCACGGTGATAGTATCCGTTCGTTTAAACGAGTTCCGAATTATGTGAATGTCAAGGTTAAACGAAAGTAACATGTGCGTTTACCTGTTAATCCAATCCATTAATACCTTATTTTAAACTTAATTTTGCGGACAAGAAGGTTGATTTTTGTTTTATATAATTTTGTTTTTGTTTTGTTACAGCTAGTTTCGTGAAGACATGTTTGAAAAGCGATCCAGAGTTCGACGCCTGTTCGCGGCAAGCCGTGCAACAGTTATTCAATGCACTTGGTCCAGGTAATTTAAGACAAATTATTCATCTTTCACACACAAATTTTCCTCACTCGATATAGTTAATGTTTTCTCGTAATTTCTTCGTTGACAAGGACTCTTCTACAATCCATAAGATGGACAGATGACCTAATAAAAGTCGCATGGAACTACTGGGTGCAGGTTGCTTTTAAAACATCTTGGGAAGGCATAATGTTCAGCAATGGACATCTTGTAGTGGCTAATATGATACTTATGACGAATAATTTAATTCTTCCTTCTTCGGACTTCGATATAAATCTATGACTGCCGTTTTGCAATCCGTTCTATCAAGATTTGCACTTAGCAACACACGTGTTTTGCTAGCCTGGTGATTAGGCACACGGTTGCTGACCTAGAAAGGTCTTGCTTAGGTTCAAAGCAAGAAGCGTTTCTCAATTTCAAAATATGTGTTGTTTGGAGTGATGTTGCTTTGCCCTGTGTTTATCTTTGCCTAATACTCATAGCAAATAAACAGACAGGACATTATTGTCGCCTTTTACATGAAATTTACATGTACCCATGCAATATACCAGGGCAACAAGATAATAGAGAAGTTTAAAATAGATTTACATATTACTATCTTATCTTGTGCAACTGTTAACACATTTGTTCGCACTTCGTAGACTAAAAATAAACAAAATGCATTGCTTAATCAAAACATCGGTAAAGTTATCAAGTGGGTGGTACTGGCAATATATTAAAGAAATTACCAAAACAGACGCAACACTTTTGATTGGTTCGAGTGGTACATACATTCGTTGATAGCTCGAGTGGCTACCGGTCTACCAGTCAACGTCGTAAGTAGCTGGCACGCTTTCTGAGCGCCTGGTTTGTTGCACAACTGCTCACAGCTGTTCGTGTTTCGCGGCTTGCACGATGCATACTACTCGCCAGTTCTGCGCTCTTAGTACATCGTGCCCCCACGCGTTTGTTAACGTTTGCAATTTTTGTTATTATAACGTTTATTTATTTGTTAATTAAACATTATTTCATTCTTGTTTATTTCATTATTGAACTAGGTATCGGTTTTAGCCCTTTCAATGTTACACATTGTTTGTGTGAGAATGATTTTTCGTTAAATAATAAATGCGTTCGAATAGGATCGTGCAGTCCTATTGAAAACATCCATGTATAAAAAAATTGCTATATTTCCGTACGTATTCTTGCTAGATTTTTCCAGTAGATTTCCTAAAGTCGCTAATCTACGAAGAAAGGTATAAGTACGGAGGGCCTACCTACGTACTATTAAATAGCTTGTATGATAGTGGGTTGGTAGATTCACAGGCCACTGGGCTAGTCACATAGCCTCAATTACGAAACATTTGTACATAACTTGCGGAAAGCGAAAGCGCTATTTCTTCATCATACTCATGTGACGCGAGGTATCAAATACGGCTTAATACCGCTGTAATTCCATTGAATAGGCGTTTGGAAGAACAATTAATATCTTTAAATGTTTAATATGCTAAGCTTTAAAATGAACAATATGAATTTAATTTAGTTTCGTATGTAGCGGCTAGCGACATCTAAACGCCACTCACTGTAATTGTATGTATTTATGTTCGTGTATTTGCGTTCTAGGTCTGCCAGAAATTGGAATGGAGCCTTTAGATCCTCTAAAAATACCAAAAATAAGAATTCTACAAGGTGACGGCCCTGTTAACGTGAATGCTGCGCTTGATGACGTCACTGTTACAGGGTTTGGAAAGACAGAAGTACTGTCGAGCCAGTAAGTATGACCATCTTGAATACATCGTACCCTGGTACTGCAGACGACTGTTTGATCGACTAAGTTGAGCAAATTGCAGTCGAGTTGCTTGTTTTTTTATAGACTTTTTCATCAATTAGGTACTTAATTAACGTTCGTTTGTGAGGATAAAATTTAACGGTCCTCTTGTTAAAATATAAAATTTAAACCATGTCTTTAGTAATATGTTTATAATCCTAGATTATATTTAGGTGATTCATATAGATTCATAATAAATCAATGTTAATTGATTTTTTTCAGAGTCGACAGCAAAACCTACGATTTTCACACAAAAGTACGAGTTCCAAAAATCAGAATAGAAGGAACGTACGATTTGAAAGGAAAAATATTGTTGATTCCATTGGTGGGCCGCGGTATATGTTGGTTCGAGCCAAGTATGTTCATAAAATTAATCACATTTTTGGTTTAATTAAGTACATTTTTTCACTTTTATAATTACTTTTCTCTTTACAGCAAACATGACGATTGATATCATCAGTGATTCAAAATTGTACAATAAAGACGATTTCGTATTTTTCAACGTCACCGGAGCACATGTCAAATATAACATCGGAGGATTGAAACTACGTATGAATAACTTATTTGATGGCATTGAGTCGTTGGGTACGTATTATTAAGAAAAAAAATAACGACATTATTTTATAAACTAGACCCGTACTGCCATCTATGATTTTGAATGTGAAGCTTACTACGCCATCTAACGTCGAGAAGAGAACCAGTCTGCTTAAACGATTATTTACATCTACGCGCTGGTAGGTGGCGCTTCATTAGAACACGAACGATGTTTAACAATCGAAGCTCTCACGGATTATGGCACCCTGGTACTAACGTGTTACAAATTGCAACGTTGAGACGTTGGAACGTCGTTGGACGTTTGACAACCGCTCGCTCCACTGTTGCCAATTTTATTCGCAATTTCGATTCGAGCAATCATTTAATTATGCGCAATCTTTATTAAGGTATTATCCTGCAGTTAAATTTGACAAAATATTGACATGCTTCAGTTATAACGTGTGGAATAAACACTATTATTGGGACATAGATACGAGATTTTGTTCGACAAGTAACAAATTTTTGCAAAGCATTTTGCAGTAGTTGATCCTCTGGCCTTGATTTATTGTTTCTGGTTTTAACAAGAGATGGCGGGCACGTATCGAAGAGCGTGGCGCGGCTTGTTATTTGAATAACAAATATTATTTACATGTAGGATTCGTAATATTTTATTTCGTTATTTTGAGTATATTAATTCGATCTCATTTTTTTATTTTCAGAGGAGAGTACCAACGCCTATTTGAATGCAAATTGGCGACCAGTATCCGAATCTTTGCGACCAATATTATCAAAAACCATAGAGGATATTTTACTTGGTTTTATGCAAAGACTATTCCACAATTTACCGGGAGATTTCATGATTGGAGATGTGAAAACATGGCAAAGTAAAAAGAGTGAGAAAAAGGTTTAGATTTAAAATAGTTGTATTTTAACTACAAATAATTATTTAAAAAACTACTTAATTTGTTACATTAAGTTAAACTTTTTAAACATGTTTTTAATTACTGTAGATAAATCTTTTAAGTTTTAATTTGAATGACGAATGCACGAGAATTTATGCCTGTGTATAATTAATGAGATTATGAAAAATCAAAGTATTTTATTATAAGTTGTGTTGAATTATTGTCCGTAAAGAAAATGTATAATTTTTAAACAGAAACAATGTGAATTGGTTGTAAATTGAATGAAATGTATATAAAATCGGAATGTTTGGTTATTTTGACTGAAAATCGGTTGTGTTGTGTAAATAATGAAAAACTTTAAACTCAAAATGCATTTTTTTATTGATCTCTACGAAATTATAGATAATAACTTCATTTTCCGTATCAAACTTGACGTTTTGTAAATAAATAATTAAACTATAGAATTTTGGCTCTGGGCCAAAGTCATGAAGTTTTACGAAACCACGTTTTGTTTATACACCTGTTATTTTCAGGTAGCCACTAGCTGGGCTAAGGTCATATTAGTCATCGCTGCGGTTTTAAAACTTGAAAACGAATCACCTACTAGTTTTTTCAATATAATTTGCCCATAAGTTTTAATTTACTTTTCAATTTCATTAAAATGTCTAGTCTATGAAATAAATTAACAAGATAATCTTCACGTCACTAGTAAATTTGTTTCAGCTTACAAATTTTATTTATATATCTTTATATAACAACAGTTTTTATTTATATTTCCGTTCGTTTAAAATTGTTTTTTTATCACACTGATTTTGAATGAAGATAATTTTCGGTAATTAATTAACTATAAATCCTTCTTATAATTTATCAAGTCATTAAAATTAAAAATATTTTTATATATCTTACCTGCCAAATAGGACGTCCAGGCATTTTGATTCACAAAGGATTTCCAAAAATGTCACAAAAGTACACTAATCACACCCGCGATGTTTCGCGCGCTGCCCACTAGATGGCACTCTCACCAAAGTTGAGAACAAAATAAGCGTTACTCGCTTCTATAACCTGTTTTATACGCCAGCAAAGCTCTATCGATGTAAATACCAGTGCGAAGGAACACGACGCAGAAACGAGGGAACGATCGACAGAAATATCTCCTTACGTGTCCAGCAACGTTTATTGTGGAATTTCTTCGAAATAAATACCTACATAAGTTGATAATTTACACCCATGTCCATACTTTTCAGTTGTATAAATAGTTTTATGGAACCTACTTCTAAATGTTCCACGTTATTCCAGAATACTGCAACTTGCACGTGTCTATTAAATAAACAAAGTTCACTAATTTTAGATCAATTTATTTACAGTTTTACAGTTACATTTTATTGATAACAAATTCAAACAACTCCCACCACTGATTAATTTCGTAGGAAGTAACTTTTCAGAAGCGAAAATTTCTTTAGATTAAAATAAATAAATAAGCGCCATACATAGGTACATAAATTGATTAAATTGAAATATATGATTAAAAAGTAAATATTTAAGGTTTATTACGAAATTGGATTATTACGATTACGAAAACGGGCTGACGGTGATGATAATGATAACAATGACATTAAACACAATGTCTTAGAGGTGTTCGTTTCAACAAGAACGTTTTAACATCTTTTAATACATCAGTGTTGTTCAGCCTGATGTCAAATTTATACATTTATTTAGGCCGTCAGCCTAATTCTCGTGTACCTAATTACCCACAAACATAACTTGGCCTACTTTTTAAATCAACACTTAATACAAAATGTACTATTTTTAGATCCCCTTAGGCTGGTTGCAGAAGATTGTCGGTCAAGAAAACGAAAACTTATTCTTGGCCTCAATGAAATGAGGTTAAAAATTTCACACTTGCTTTTAAAGTTTACGATTCATTATTATCTGCGGATTTTATATACACGTCTATAAAAATCTACGAGTACAAAGACTCATAGATCAGTAAATCAAACGAAGAAAAAATACTGTATATGCCATTGTACAAATTAGCTATTAGCTTATGAAGTAGCATTCCTAATCAGAATACATTATGATAAATATTGTTTGTTTTGTTTTCGAGTGAAACATAAAATTTGTTTAGGAATCCTCCATTGTGGCTGCATCTGATATAGGTAGACATCTATTATTCATACCGCCATCATAATCCAACATGCATGTGGTTTATGAAGCCGTAAAACAAATACTGCTCATATCATGAATCATAATATCAACTATCTGACGTTCTAAATTTGACGTTTTATCAATGTGTTAGTGAAGTATTAAAGAGTTTCGTAGTGTGCGGTCGCGTCATATCAGTCATCGATGCATTTATGTTGCACGGCCGTGTAATGCGGTTTGGTGCATCGAACTACTTCTGTATTCTGCAATCCTTGTACATGGAGTTCCTGGTAAGACAATTTGTTGCAGTTCTCACAGCGTACTCTTACGCATACAATGCACATGTTCCACGCAATGATTTCGTCGCTTCTGTAGGTATAAACAGTGTCGAAGGGACAGGTTCCGTTCTATTAATATAATATTTTCTATGAACCTTTTGTATCTGTTGGATGTTCTAAAACGTCTTTTAATACCCTTCTAAGACATTAAAACAAAAATCTTAAAAATATACTATTCATAGATGCACATAATAGGACGTAAAATAGTACTAGTCTATTCGTCTATTGCAAAGTCTGCAATAGACGACGTTCCTAGAATGCACATTCATCGGCAGTAATGTTATATGCCACGTGGAATTTACTAACTGGAATAAATAAATAGCTACGCATAAAAATGCGCGAATGCATTATGACAAGTAGACACGCATAAAGGCAAAAACAGCAGATGAAGGTCGGACCGGTGAATGACCGAGAGATGCGCATTGACCCAGAGAAGGGTGCTCGAAGGGGATAGGGCCCCTTTGGTGTCGCTCACAAAAGGAACGAGCACCAGGGTAACATAAACGCTAGAAGGTTAAGCTGCATACATGCACTTTGCACCGAATGAGCGTGACGTCATTCTGTTCGTGCTGCATTGTTTACCGCTGCATTGCAATTTAGTAATGTAATCATTCATTTACGCGCTGTTGTATCTCTCATACTTGTGTTTGTACAAAAATTTGTCTTGTCGATTAATTGTCAAGCATCTTCAAATTGTTCATGATGTTTCAGCTAAATGCTTCAGTATTTTATGCAGCCTGATATTAATAAGATAAATTAATAATAGTAATAAAACAAACAATAATATTTCTGACTTTATCAAACCGACTGAACGTAACAATAAAAAATTCGTAAAAATAATTGATCAAATTCACCTATTGAAAACACAAAAATATAACTAAGATCCGAAATTCAAAAAGGTCATAGTGTCACCCTAATTTGCCTTTCCTTTCAAGCACATACCAAACCAAGATTGTTGTTAATTTCAGACAGGAACATTTTATAACATCATTTGTCTGTTATGAGTTTAAAGATATTTTAGGCACTAGTGATGATTGAATACATTTGACGTGTTTGCCCTTAAGTCCCACCCTCCGAGGTTATTATTGAAAAACACGTTACATTCGCTTCGTGAACGAAATCGTTCGTTTAGTCAGTAAACTGAAATAGGTCGTACATGCTTCTGAACGGTTCAAGGTAGTATATGGGACCAGAAATAGCCTGTGAGTAAACTGCTTAAAATAAATTATCATCCCACATGTCGCGTCAAACTTTTGCGTGTCTGGTAATTCGTTAGCGAGTTTTCGTTATCGAATAGAATAGAACCTTTACCATCAATTAGCATATCGGAATTATAATTTCCTTTCTTTTCATTTCGGGTTATTCAATTTTTCTAATATAATATTTTTTTCAGACTCAGGTTTTGTCATTAGGGCACAATCTGAGAGGTTCATTCCCACACATTTAGATACTACAATTTTATTAAAAACGAAAAAGGCTTTTTAAAAAAAATATTCATATCACTTGAATGTTCTAGAATAAAAAAAAATATAGGTTCATAGATATTATTTTTATTCTAGAACATTTTTCTTGGCTAAGTTACGGCCGTTAGAATACATAAAAGCGTGTAGGTTTTATTAACGACGTTAGAAAATACTTTTTCTGAGTCAGACATTTTTTTACGAAGTATTTTGTATTGTATCACCGACTTGGCAGAGGAGGTAAATGTGTTTGCCAGAAATATTTTAGTTTTCCTAATGTTGTATCAAAGAAAACTATTTTTTAAGATTTTTATTGACTGTGGTTTTCGTTTCTCTGTGCACTAAATACGACTGTATGACTAAAAGCCTTTTATTTCGATCAATAATAAAGAAATATCTACTACTTAAGTATACAATAACTACATTTTTCTACTTCAAAAACCAACATGTCCAACACCACTCTAAAAACTATTAAAGAAAAAACAAGACAATATTAAACTTAAAAATATTCCAAAAACAAAATTTGAAGTTAATTCTTTTTTCGAAGCGTATTTGAAAATTACTGGCAAGATAAATTCCCCCGTAATAAAGAGGTCAGCCGTCAAGTATGACAAATCTAGCGGGGCCACCAAGAATGGCACGTTTGGAACGTAAGTGGAGAATCTGGAGCAGGCACTTACGATCGCCATGTACCAGGACTGCATACAGCGATGGAAGTAATCAGACCGATTTATCGCAGCCTACCGGCGGATAGCAGAAACTTTAGTTAGTTTCATGTTTATGATACCGGTTTAGGTTTACTTTATTCGATAAGAGATGGCGTTACTATACTACGTAAGAAAACTGTAGGTGTGTAGGTGATCGCTATTGTAGCGCCTCTAGTGACAAGAATTTGCATGTTCGTTACGTCAGCTAATGATTCATATTCATCGTATGTAGTTTCTGTTGCAGTAATTATTATTGCTCGTTTAGTTTTAAACCAAAATGAATAAATAAAAATAAATAAAAAAAAATAAAAAAATTGTTGAATATAAAATGTAGGTAGGTACTACGACGTGACTTCAAGCGATAAATCAATTAAGTACCTACATAGGTACCTATATACTGCCAAGATTTTAGAAACCGTTAAAATTTATCAAATAATTATTGAAATCAATGTATTGAATTCAAAATCCCTATTTAAAAGCTTAATTCTGTCTGTCAAATTTTGCACTCTTTTTTAATTTAGCAAAAAAACGCATAGTAATTTTATAATTTTGTTCTGAGTATTCGTAAAATACAACCAGGAGTTTCTGAGATAACACAAATAAAAAATAAACAAAACAATTAATTGAAATAATTTACTAGCAGAGATATTTACACAGTAAACAAATTATAATTACGTAAGTACATGTCATACATTTACACGAAAAATAATGCTAATGAGATCCATCCATTACATGAAAATACTTCAAAGTCTTAAAATTAACAGTAAATTACCGAATTACTCGTAAATTACCGTAATAATAGAATGCTGGTAAAATCTAAATACTACAATAATAATTCTAATATTTGGCATAATTATTGCGCACTATTGAAAGTATAACTTTCGTTATTTAACACAGATAATAATAATAATTAATTATTATTTTGCTATTCATGTTATAAGCTTATTGCTTCACACACGTAGATCAATACAAGTATTTACAATGATTTTTAAACTTAACGTTTTATTAAAAGTTGCTAAGTTGCATTGATTTTATACACTTTTAAAAGATAGAAATATAAAGTGGTAAATATTGTTTGAGTTTTAAATTAAAATTATCAATCGTCATATTAATCGATCAAGGCCAAAATCTAGTAATTTTTATCAGTATCGAGAGCTTTTTGGTTCTATCGGTGAATATTCACATAAGATTTTATTATAGCAATATTAAATTAGGTATATTAATCAATCTCGTAGCCTAATGAAAGCGGGGACGAAATACGAGCAGGGATCAGTATAATTAGAAAAATGTCAGTACAATCTATTCACTTATTACACTAACTCATCGTACGAAACATTGAAACTTTGTTCCATTACACTTTCGAACGATGGCGACGGTTTCTTCTGGCAGGCTTCCTTCTGTGCCAGCAGTGTGTCACACTCCGTCAGGCGGCCATGCAGTACGTCGTATACACGGGTCATTGAAGCCACCTTCTCTTTGCATGAAGGATCAGTTTCTATCGCAAAGAGCCGGGAGTCCAGTAGCTTGATAGCAGCAACGATGTAGTTCCTCAGAGTTTTCGTTTTGTGCTCAGCACTGATACGTTCTAAGAAGGCGCACACTTGGCTTTCCCCACAAAGAAGAACGTCTACGTCATACGCGAGAGGCGAATGTTGTCGGTGAAGGAAGGCAATCAATCTCTTTGCATAGCGTCGATAAGTTCTATATGCTTTACGCTTCCGTGCTCCCAGCGTCCTTCCCATTGTCATGGACTTCTTCATATCATCGATTACAGCTTTGTATCCGGCATCGATTTTCGAATCGAATATGTCACGTAAACGAGTTTCTACTTGTTGCAGCTCATAAGGGGCAGGTGATGGTGGAAGTGATGGAGATGACGGAGGCGGTGATGGTGGAAGAGGATTCTGCGTGTTTTCTTCTTCACTGGATTCGCTTGACGCTCGCCGTTCTACTGGACTGGCTTCTGGAGCTGGATAAGGCCGTGGTCGAGTTCTTGTTTTTTGTACACGGGCAGGTCTTGGTGCAGTCCTAGCGTTGTAAGCTGTCAGAACGTTTGCATCTTGTTCAGTAAGTGGCCGTGATCGTTGCGTAGCAGCAAGAGGTATGATTCGTATTTTGACTAGATTGTAACTCTGGTGAATTTTTGCACGAATCCGAGGATCTTCGTAGTCTGTTCCCCAAAGGTCTCGAATAGCTGATTCTTTGAGATATCGCACTTGGCAAAGTTCACCGTTGAAGAATCGTTTTCGTTGTTGTTCATTGAGGGCGTCTCTTTCAGCTCCCGTGAGGCCATGGATCTTTGTGAGATGGTCTGGTAGTTTACCATAGGTAAATCTTGCGCAGTTCTCTATTGGACATGGGATGTTTGCATGATTCTGCTTCTTGGTGCGAGTGACGGGTGCTGCTGGTCGAGCAGCCATAGTAGCAACCTACGACAAAATAAAAATATAGTTATCAAGTTGCACTGTACCATGACAAGTTGTCTTATTGTTTCCTGATTCTAAAACTGAACGAGTTCATGTTTATATGATAATGGTTTTCTAAGTAACGCCACCCCTATTCTAAGTTCTTAACGTCTCAGGCCATTAGAAATAACCACATCCTTAACTTTAAACCCAAAACGTATCAGAACACCAAAGCAAAAACTTAAATTAATTATATTTTTTTAAGCTGAGAAGAGAGACAGTGAACAAATGTTTTGGATGGAGTCCAGTTAATTTATTTAGAGGGTGTTTATCGACACGAGGGGTAGCTGTCCGAGTATAATAATTGTGTTGACGGAGGCTCCAGGCTGTTTGCCCAGTCCGGACCTCTTGTCCTCCGTTTAATTTATTGAAAACAATGCTCCCGAGGAACATGGCGTCTTGTACGTTTGTATTGATGTGTGTTGGTGGTTGGTGTATCTCCGTGATATGGATGACGGCAGTTATTGTAAATGGGGGCTTATGTAGGAACGGAGTAGCTAAGTGAAAATCTTTAAAGTTATGGGAGAGTATCTGCAATAATGTAGTTTCCTCAGAAAACAAATTACTTTGACTTTTGAATACAATATTGCCACTATTTGTTTGCCATGTGTAGCTGTTAGTTTTCCAATACGTAAATAAAAAAATATTACAATAAATATAAATGTAAAAATAAAAATGATAATAAAAATAAAAATAAAAATATTATTATTACAGAGAAGTAGTAGCAGTTTCTAGTATTACGTGTGTCCATAGGCGGTGCATTAGTTGATCCCTCTGCTCATTTACCCATGTATAAAAAAAGAATACCGTTTCTGATGTTTAAAAAAAGAATTGAATTTGTTTAGTTTGAAACTTAACCTATAATGCGCCGTGTTTATGAATAAATACGATTTTATTGTTAATTTATTTTGATAGTGCAGGGTAGAATCAAAAATAATTGATACAATATTATCTACTCGTAATTTGCGATTAGCGATTATCGATTGACTAATAATTGATAGTAAATGTTGTTTGGGTGTTTTTTTTTCACTAAAGAGATAATATGTATTTAACGAAGTGGCAATCGACTCGTATTAATTGATGTTTCCGTATGCTGATATTTGCAACTACGTAACTTAACATGCTTTTTTCATTAGATTTGTAAAGTTGTCATTATTTCATTAGTTCCTTTTTTCATTAAGTATAGACTCATTAACTACTATTTTTAATAGAATCATTAACTACTATTTTTAATAGACTTTGCTAAATTGGCCAACTTTTATCATTAACTTTTTCTTATCTAACAGATTTTACAAACAAATGCCTCCGAAACCCTAAGAAAATCCACATTATTTATATTAAACACAAAATAATAATTAGTCAAAACAACAACTAAGAGCTAAGACCGTCCGTCCGTCTGATTGAGCTAATATTTATATTGTAAATTAACTAGCTTCGCCGCCAGTGTTCGTTCGCTTTTCTATAAATAATCCAAATTGAACGATCCTCTAGGGACAAGGCCTGTTTCTATTGTTTTATATTCTTCAATTAATAATTTTGATTAGCAACGATGTTGGTTTTGTTTTATTAAGAAAATTGACTTGAGATTGTGTTTATATTGTCAAGAATTTGAGCTTAAAGTTTTTGGTTTTTGAGTTTGGTGTCAATTCATAATCAGTATTGAATAATAAACCTATTTTTTATGATTTGTTATTTAAGTTATTCCGGAGTAGTTACGTTTTTCTAATCAATCTTTAAGCTATTTCCAAATATTAAGTCTAAAAAAATTTTAATTCACATTGAGGACAATATCCACGTTACGGGCCGGACACAATGTCCTCTGATCCCCAAATTCCGCTATCGATCATCAATCTTGAGATAACGTTTGAATGTGCTAAGAACCAATAAGTCTAAGATACTCTAGTCTAGTCTAATATTGCCGATTTATGTAAAAAAGAATAATGTTTCTTGATATTTTTTGTCAAACCCTTGCAAATCCTACGGTTTTTAATTAATCCATGCGTATAAATTACGCCTGGTATATGGCAGTAGGCTTACCCCCTATTACATGGAACTCATAACATAAATATTGAAAAGTAGGTGTTTTATTGTACAGTGGCATTAAGTGCCGTAATGTGCACCTTTAACTACCGTTTGGGAATAAAAAGGCATGATGTCATATGCGTATAGAAAGTGCCAAAACATCTTATTCTACCTAATTACTTCAAATCACAAAACGCAAACCATAAACGTAAACGTCAAAACTCGCGTTTAACCCCAAGTTTATGTTACACCTTTACTTAGCGACTTGACATGACAGCCGAGTCGATTACACAGAAAGTTACCGTAAATATTGTTCCCCCTATAAAACCCGGTATGACTTGAATAAATAACTAATTTGCATATTTAATAACAGGTATCGCGAGTGGATTCAATTGTTTCAATCTTTGTATTAAATTAGTAATACTGCAAAGCCTTTGACAATTAAATATTAAGATTATTGTTTGATTAGCGAAGTGTTTCTTGAGGTTAATTTTATTCAGAGGTGAGGTAGGTAGGCTTGGTATGTACAGGGTGTTCTGTTATTCGTTAATCATTTTTTCAAGTTGTATGAATGGAAATGTGTTGAGAATTTAAATGTTAAGTATTCGTTAATCCATATTAGTTACTTAACAATTATATTACAATATGTAAAGCAAGGGCAATCTCCTCGAATAAGTAACGTTAATTATTTACGATTATTTGTAATTACAACCTAAATTGTGCTGTTAAGGGACCGTTTATTTGTGTTAGTTAGTTAGCAGACCCGGCAAATTTCGTACGGCCTAAAATTTTTTTCTCTCCTTATAAACCTTAATTGATTCAGCCATTCTCGATTTTTATTGGCAAAACTAATGAACGCAAATTCATTTTTATATTATGAGGTATATATATTTAGATTTCATAAAATATTAATTAATTATAATTCATATTGTGCAATATTTATACGTGCTTATACCTAGTATCTATTGAAAAATAATAAAAAATGTGTTTATATACAAAAAAAAATTTGAGTCGGTGTCTAAAATACCTATCAAAGACAAATTGTTAAACATGGTAAGTGAATATGGACACACATATATAGTATATACATATTTTTTTTCGGGGGAAAATCAATGATTGACTGCTCCCGCCTGGTTGAGGCGGGAGGGAGTGTCAGACTCTTACTGACTAAAATCCACCCCGTTCCTTCTCCTGCACGTCCACCCGCGCCCCGGTAACCCGTTAGGTTCTCCGCGACATAGTATAAACATAGGTGTTAAATCATGGTTATTAAAGAATTAAAATATAAATACTATAAAAGAACACTATAAAATATAATTACATATTTATTAGTAAGATAATATTGTAATTAATCATTAAATTGCTTGAATGCCCGCAATAAAGACACAATAGAAAATAGATTGTGTCTCGCGTGAATCCACGTTTAGACACACAATGGGCTAAACCTACCTAAACCAAAAACAAATATTTAAGTAGATATTCTAATCCATATTCATTCAGCGTTCGTGTTCGAATACCTTGAAGTAAATTGTACCTACCTCTAAGTTTGTACGACTTAAAATTAATTTTACATTGTATAAAACTTTAGGAATTGGTTGATACATGCCGGAGATTGTCAGTAATCAGTCTCGTGGCCACTTATGGAATGCTTGTTGTTGATGAGGCGAGTTGAGTGTTGAGTAATGTAAATATTATTCTATGCTTAAACTGTCAAACACCAAGCTGTCACCGGTGACCGCAACCTATTGTTCTATAATTGTGTCTATAATGACGGTACTCGACGAGTTAACTTACAATTTTACTCGCAATCCTTCGACATTTTGGGACACGTGGTCAAAGGAAGAAAGGTAGCCTTTTTATCCTTCTAATTTTAATAATATTATATACATTCAGGTATCAAAATTAACATTAAACTGTCAAACACCAAGCGGTCACCGAGTACTTTCATTATAGACAAAGAGTTAACATACTTTCGCATAAAAAAATTAGTAAGGATATGGTCATCGTCATAGTTAAATTGCAAATCTAAATAACTGATGGAAAAAAGAACAATTAATTTAATACGAGTGGGTTTTACGTCAAACTTCAATTAAAAAAACTTATATCAGTTGATTCCTAATTGTAGAATAAAATTGTAATTTGACAGTTTTTAGCATGGAAGAATTGTTAAATATTCAAAGTTATTCCTCAGTTAAAATATGGAGTAGGAAAAATCGGCCCTAAACGAAAATGTTATACTCAGAAACCATTTGTAATACATACGTGCCACGCCTTAAAAACTATTTTTGAAATCAGAAACATAATACAATTTTTAATCATGATTAATTAAGATCCCCACGTTAGTACTAATTAACTCCGAATAGTTACCTAACTGACGATACTCACAAATAAACAAAACAAAACAACACAACACAACAAATAAAAAATATAAATAAAAAAAATTACCTTCAAAACGCAACGGCCCGAAAGTCCAAGGACGAAGTTTCCCGGGTTATTTACGTCAGTAAACACGTTGTTGTTGTTTATGTTTTCCTAATAAAACAAGCGCGGGACGTGCTTCCCTCAGCGCAGTCGTCGCTCAACTGGCGTTACGTAACAGTATCCTGGCAAATCCCTTTTCTCAACCCCCATGATTTTCTCCTACAAACCACCCAGTCTACTTTGATCTACCCCTCTCCCTTTTGTCTACACTTTTTGTACCAATGTGGGGTGCTTCCAAGGAAAAGTAAGGGTCTGGGAAAATTGGTCGTTCTTTTACGTGTGTGTCGTCGTTGGAGTTCGGAAAACTTCGAGTGACGTCGTAGCAAGCTCCGCCTTTGCGTAGCCAATAACAGCTATAGCGTAACCGCTGTCGTAGCGACGCTGTAGAATATGCTTTTCAATGTTCCTTTTTTAAATTTGGAGAAAACGGAATTAGAAAATCGTTGCATGTTGCAGTCTATACTTGTTATGAAGAGTAATAATGTTATTTAGTGTAAGTTGAAAATTTTAAGTAATGATATTGTGTGTAACATCGGTTAAAAATTTGGTTAAAACGGAAAGTTAGGTGAGTAGCATTTTTTATTATTAAAATATTTTTTTTTACTTTTTGTTTTTTATATATTTTGTTGCTTAACTATCGCCCCATTTATTAAAATTTAAACACCCTGTGTTGAGATTGCATAGTTGAGTAGAATTTTGGTAACCTCAAAAATTATTAGTGCATTTTTATATTTAGCGAAAATTTTACGTAAAAGTTAAATGATAATTATGTGCAAATATTCTGCTGCTAGTCTAATAATAGACCAGCTGCAGATGTAGCATTCATGTCGTACACTCCATTCTAAAAAAACTTAGAATTGTTTTTATCAGATTCTTAATAAAATATTAGGTATATATATTTTTAATATTAAGCGAGTTTTTAAATTACTATAGATTTTTCTTGTTGCAACTTGAGACAATTCACTTTATCGCTTGAATAAATTCTCCTACAACCTGTCGCCATTTCTAAATGCTGTACATACTTAATTTCCTTCTTACTCATTTTTAACAACATATACTATATTTTAATATCTCATCTGGCACGCCTACTTTATAGGCGTGGCTTAAAACACCACGCCTCTCCGCCTCCGTGCAATTTCCGAACACCGTACTCTTTCAGCCGAGACAAAGTCCTTCATAATACTGCTAAATGTGAAAATACCATTGTAGGAAGAAAATGTATTAAAAACTGGGTTGTCGAATTTGGTCGCGTTATAGTGATTGGAATATCGATCCTATCAACTTTCTAGACTATTGATTTAGTACTTAAGTAACTATAATACAGCAGTGCGGTGTTTTCATGTTGTATTTACTGTAGATCCTGGCTAACAGGAATTGCAGCAGTTTTGGCGGGCTTGTCCCATTAAAAAATACAGCAGTGGTCTCCGAAAAACGTGAAAGTTAACCGGCACGGCTCCAACCCAGCAATTAACTTGTCATTTAAATATGAACATTAATAAATCGTATGTCGTATGATATATATCATAACGTCAATATAATTTAATTTAATTCTTTCGTCAGGTGTAGCTTACTATACGGACCTTGTGGAATCAAGAACAAATTTCCGTGCGTTTAGGCGCTTTTGCCATACCTATTATTGGAAGCAAGTATACCAGCTCACACATAGGGCCCACTTAGTTTTTAGTTCAATTTTCGTGGTGCTTGGCGACTGGACTTCACCCAGTTATACAGTCTCTTTTTTGTGCCTTTAAGGCTTTGGCTGCCAATAAAAAACTGTTAAAGGCAAATCCTCCGCTAATGTCGGTCACCGGTGACTGCCATGGCGTTTAACGTGTTAAGCTTATTTCATTCTGTCTCCTGCAATAATTCACAGAGAAGTGGAAACTAACAGTGTTTTTTTTTCTCGTATTATAATATCTTCTGATTCACGTTGTTGCGGGAACCAAGACAGTTATTCATGTCCCTGGGACGCACCGGACTTTAGTGTTCCGGTGTATTCATGGTTGTATATACTGTAGATCCTGGCTTACAAGAGTTGCAGTGGTTTCGTGAGAATGTAGCTTGTCCCAAAAAAAAACGTCAATATAAAAAATCTGTAAGCCTACATCGCGCCCACAGCACGTTTCCCACCTTTATGTTTATTTTCTAAGCAAAAAATGAAACCGAAGCCGTGCTTGTTAATTGTGTTGTATATCTTAAGCCTTCCAATTTGCGATCTTCAGCCCGTGTAATAACACATAGAGATTATGGGCTTTCCCATAATTTGTACGGCTTTCAGGCGTGTTGAAGAATGTCGAGTAGAGGGGACCTGGAGATCCATAGTCCATGAATGGGCTGATGATATGAATGTTTGTATTACCTTCCTATTTCTACTAAGTACTATAATATTACCTTGTATACCCATACCATATCATAGAAACACCTAATGGTGTAAACGGCAGTTATCTCTAATTAACACAAACGTTTCGCTTTCTAATTGGGATCAATTGATGACGTTCATTCAGTATCACATTCATATCGACTGTACACCATTTTATTAATTTGACAAAAAATGTTTCAGTCACTTCTAGTTGTTACTCTCTTATTTTCCAAATTTGTTAAGATGGCGCTCCGTGAGTCCCTTTGAACACCACAATTGCTTTGAATACCTACAGTAGGCCGCGCGACATTGCCGCGACCGCGCACGCTGCTCATGAGGAAGAACCCCTCTGTGGTTGGGCTCGCTGCCATTGCAGCGGTAAGTCCCCTCTTTGAGGAGTGGCTTGAGAGACGCTACGGCGTCCTCACCTACCGCCTGACGCAGGTCCTCACCGGACATGGAAGTTTCGGGAGGTACCTGTGTCTGATGGGGCGGGAGGAAACGCCCGGGTGTCATCACTGCGAGGACTGCCCTGAGGACACGGTGGAACACACAGTGGGAGAATGCCCTGCGTGGGCTGAGCACCGCCGTGCCCTCAGGGAAGTGGTAGGCGATGGCGACCTCTCGCGTCCGGGCCTAGTGCAGGCCATGATGCGGAGCGAGGGGGATTGGGATGCCGTCTCCTCCTTTTGCGAAGCAGTCATGCTAGCTAAGGAGGTGATGGGACGCGTGAGGCAGCGAAGCGCTGCCTCCTCGCAACCCAGCCGTCGCGAAGGACACACCGGGCGTCGGGGATCGCGAGACGATCTCCGGCCACCGTAAGCGCGGGCCTGCGGACGGCGAGCATGGGTGGCTCCCCGTCCGACCAGAAAGAGACCCGAGCGTACGGCGCGTCGCGTTCCGCGCGCGCCTCAAAGAGCCATCAGACCACCACAGATGGGGCCCAATAGGGCCGATGCCGATTTGGAGTCGCGGAAAACCTAACGGGTAACCGGGGCTCCGGCTCGACGTGCAGGAGAAGGAACGGGGTGGTTTTTAATCAGTAAGAGTCTGACACTCCCTTCCGCCTCACCCAGGCGGGAGCAGTCATTCGATGATTTTCCCCCCTTAAAAAAAAAACCCCTCTGTGGTTCGGAACTAGTAGAGCTTTTCTCAGTATATTCACGTGAATAACCCGCGATTTTTAGTTAACCACAATTGCTGCCAATAGCTAATATTTTGTTTAAGACTTCACATTTTTTTACTTGCCGCAATAATTATTGCGTACTAATGATATAAAACGGTATTATTGATTAAGCATTTTTACTGAACTGTAGTGTGTCTATGATGACTGACATATTTTTTGTGATTATATCTAGTACGTCCTTGCGGTTTCCTACTAATGAATATTCATTGTTTTAAAAAAATTCTGACAACGCGCAAACAAGAAGTAACCAAAATATGAGTAGGTACTTATTTCGCTTTCCGTCGGTCCCGGTTTTCCTGTTGTAATTATAACTAAAATTACAAAACTTATTGTAATTAAGTGTGTAATATGAAGCACAATTATCTAATTTATAATGCATATAATGTCCTAAATCTCCTTACAAGCTGAATATATTATTAGTCTCCCGAATCCCCGAATCCTCCACAATCCTTAAATTCCCAATTCCCAAAAGGCCGGTAACGCATTTGTAACGCCTTGGTGTTCCAGGTGTCCATGGGCGGCACCGATTGCTTACCAGGTGATCCGTCAGTACGTTTACCGGCTTATGCTATAAAAAAGAAGACATTATTTTGGGTTCCAAATAAAAGTAATAAGTCTTTCACTGACGTGAATAGGTCCTTAATAGTGCCTAATATGAACTAATCGGTTGTAGAAGAAAATATACAAAAAAAAATATTGCAAAACCAAAAATACTAATGAGAATATTGGTTCATCTCCTGCATCGAGGGTATCGAGTCCTCGCGATGTTTTTAAAATGAAACGTTGTTTTTCTTAAAGTTTAAGCTAGGTGATTGTGCAATCATTAATCAGCCAATAAGATGCACTCCCTGTTAAAAACAGCATCGGATCAAAATACTGGGACATTGGCATAAAATGGACATACCTAAATTATTATTTATTGTGATCACTGAATGAAAATTCTTGTAGTATAATTTTATTTATCAAGGGTAATGCAAGGGCAATGTGTAATGTAATGACATTTATCTATGGTTTTACGCACATCTTATACAGTTATTATTTTTTTTAATTTATACATGTTACAGCCAAAAATTAGATTTAAAACTAGACTACACAATAAGCAGATAAGTGCTTAAAGTATTTTGAAAGTTATTGGCATTTTATTTCACTCTTATATCTTTGGCGATTCAAATATAATTTATAAACATTTTAGGAAATATTACTTTAGTAACATAATATATGGGTAAAACATGAACATTCTGTTACAAATGCTAATCTTAAACAATTCTCACAGTTCAGCTCCATACTAAGACAACGGCAAATTTTTTCTTGACATAATGATGATAAAAATATGATGTTGAGCCTCCCCTCCGGATATCCGGTGGATATTGTGTTATCCGGCGTCACAATAAGAACCTCGTGATAAATTTGTACTACGAAATACTCCTTGATTGATAATCTCTTTGGTAGGAGGTGGAGGGAAAAACTGCAGTAAACGTTAAACATTCTCTTATAAGCGGCAAAATATATTCCGTTGCCCATCTTCTGTGACCAATTTCTTAT